TCGAGTCATATGATCCTAATATTAGAAATGATGTTAGGATGACATATTTGGAAAAAGGTCCTTGTCAACTACGTGGACTTGACTTTCCAAGAAGACGGATAGGAAATGATAATAGGTGTTTTCAAAGGGAATGATTTTCTAAATTTTATTGGTTGGAGTACAGTATAGAAAATGATGTGGCTTATTGTTTGCATTGCTACTTATTCAAACTAGATAGAGGGGGTCAAGGGGGTGGACATATACTCACTAAGACTGGCTTTAGGGATTGGAAGCACAAAAGTACATTGAAAGATCATGTCGGGCTCATTGATAGTGCTTATAATCAAGCTTTTGCAAAGTGTACCAATTTGATGAATAAAAAGCAAAGTATCTCCCATGTTATTTCTAGCCAAAGTAGTAGTCAACAAAAAAATTATAAGACAAGGTTGACTGCGGTGCTAGACTGTACTAGATTTCTCTTGATGCAAGGATTGTCATCTCGTGGTCATGATGAATCGAAAGAGTCTCTTAATAAAGGAAATCTGATTGAGCTACTAAATTGGTATGCAACTCGTCGTAAGAAAATTAATGAAGTACTATTTAGTAATGCTCCTGGAAATGACCAAATGACTTCACCAAGCATCCATAAGGATTTGGTTAATTGTTGTGCTGTAGAGACGACAAGGTCTATGATCAACGAGATGGGCGATTCCTTGTTTTCAATTTTTATTGATGAGTCTCGTGATAATTCTATAAAAGAACAAATGGCAGTTGTTTTGAGGTTTGTTGACAAAAGTGGACAAGTGAAGGAGCGTTTGTTGGGTATTTGCCACATTGCTGATACTTGTGCCCAATCACTCAAGGATGCCATTGATGCAATGCTTTCTACACATGGGTTGAGCATATCTAGTCTGAGAGGTCAAGGTTATGATGGAGCAAGCAATATGTCAGGTGAGTTCAATGGCTTAAAAGCTTTAATTTTAAGATAGAACCCATGTGTTATGTATATTCATTGCTTTGCTCACCAGCTTCAGTTGGCAGTTATTTCTGTGGCACATAGGAATGTTATGCTTAGTGATTTATTTAACATGCTTGCTATTATTGTGAATTTGGTTGGTGCGTCATGTAAACGTGTAGATGCTCTTCGAACAAGTTATCGTGTTGAAATTCTGGAGAGCCTTAATATTGAGGAACTTTCTGATGGAATTGGTCAATTTCAAGAAATGAGTTTGGCACGTCCAGGTGATACTAGATGGGGCTCACATCTAAAGACAGTTACTCGCTTTATTAGTATGTTTAATGCGATCATAGATGTTCTTGAGAATATATTAGAAGACGGCATAAGTTTACAACAAAAATCAATGGCCATCAGACAGATGGACATTATGCAAGATTTTCAATTTGTGTTCAGTCTCCACTTTATGTTTGAAATTCTTGTAATTACAGATGACCTTTCACAAGCCTTACAGAAAAAGGATCAAAATATTCAGAATGCTATAAGATTATTGAAGTTGTGTAAGTACGCATTGCAGAACATGAGAAACAATGGTTGGGATACTTTGTTGAGTAAGGTAATTCAGTTTTGTGTTGATAGACATATTTCAGTGCCCAATATGGATGATATTGTAGTATCGAAAGGTTGAACTAGGCGTGCAAGTCAGCAGGTGACTTATTATCATTGTTTTTATGTTGATTGGTTTTGTTATGTGATAGATTCAATCTTGCAAGAGTTGAATGATCATTTTCCAGAAACAACTACTGAGCTTTTTACTTGCATTTCGTGTTTAAGTCCAAGAGATTCATTTGCAGCTTTTGATATATGTAAATTGGTTCGACTTGCTCAGTTATATCCTATGGATTTCAATAGTGAAGAGCTTTTATTACTTAGACCTCAACTTGACAAGTTTCTTATGTTCGTGAGAATGGATGAAGCTTTCTTCAACCTCAAAAGCATATCTTGTGTAGCTCAAAAGTTGGTTGAAATTGGAAGTTCTTGTTATTTTCCATTGGTTTATAGGCTGATCACATTAGTTTTGTTATTAAATGTGGCAACTGCAAGTGTTGAAAGGGTATTCTCTGCTATGAATCTAATCAAGAATGATCTGCGCAACAAAATGGGAGATGAAATGTTGAATGACAATTTGGTAGTTTACATGGAGAAAGATCTTTTATGAAACTTGAGAATGAGACAATATTGCAACGTTTTCAAAATATGCGACCTTGTAGAATTCAGTTGTCTAAGCTTGCAATTTCAAAGTAAGGTTGTATTGTATATTTTTTTAGCATTTTGGGTTGTATTAAACTATATTTTCATATGTATATATTTTCTAGATTTTAGTGCATTTACATATATATTGAATAATTTATAATATTATTTAATCTAATTTTAATAAACGATTGAACACCGATCGGACAGGGCTTTTACGATCGTCGATGGTCAATAGTCAAAGTCAACCTCCGCCCTAGCTGAATGTTGATGCTAGATTCGCCACTGGCCAGAATATGGAATTAACACAATAACAAACAATGGGTCCATGGACTTGATGACATGATAAACAGCCGTGGTGATAAACCGGCTACAAGACATAATGGGTTTTCTAATCAGCGAAGCGTAAAAGGTACACGACATAAAAAGACCCTTGTGAGGCATTTCTCTTGGTGGAGTAGGTGACAGCGGAGCAGCTGGTTGACTAATTATGGTGCGCGAGTGGCATTGAGCCCACCAATTTTGGATATGAAGTTGATATAGAATTCGGTACATATCATTTTCCTCCATCTAGTCCTGATCTATGGGATGCTTAAGATGGAGGTGAAGATTATGATGGTCAGCCCATTTTTGACGTTGTGATCATTGAAGATGTAGGAAAAGTAGTGGTTATTGAAATAATTTAAGAAAGAAAGAACCCTAACCAACCATATATGAAAATTAAGGGAATTAGTCAAGATTCATGTAGTTTCCTATTATAAAATATTCAAGTTCGAAAACAATTGGGAACGGAAGGATGGAAATAGTTGAGAGAATGGTAATATGCATAGTCACAGAAATGAATTATTACAAAGGTCGTTATATTGTCATCAAAATTTTCATTTTATAAGCTACATTTTAATTACTGTTGAGTTCCTCATCTTTATTCAATGTAGCAATTATTTCCTTTTTATTTTTCGTCGAATTCTTATTTTTGACATTCTATTGATTAGTACGTGTCGTCCTTAATGATGTTTTACATCAAAATGTTTTGTTTTCATGCATTGAAATGAGAAAAAATATTTTTTTCGCACTCTTAATTAATTTTTTTTTAAATGACGAAAAATAAATTGTTTTACATCATTTCAAAAGACTTGTGGACATAAAACTGTTATTAAATACAAAATATGTTAACTTCTAAAAAGTTTGAGGATAAGAATAACATAAAAATCTGTTAAGGGACATAAGTATTACAATGAGCAAAGATTAAGAATCTTAAGTGCAATTAAAATATGATGCAAATTAAAATTTTAGTGTGAATATAATTACCCCTTATTACAATTGAATTATTATAGGTCTTCCTACCGCGGAGGAAATTGTGCATGTTATATAGAAGCACGTTGACGAAGCCATAATAGGCCACAACCAAAGCTTAAGCATGTTGCTCTTTCATCAAGGAAATTACGTTCACACAATTTTTAAGTTTCAACTTAAAAAATCATGTAACTTATTAAAAAATAATATGATAATTGAGCTTTTTAGTATTAATAGTATAATTTAATTAAATAATATATCCACTAATTATGGATAACTATCACCACTATCATTGTCTCTCCCTATTAACTATCATTGTCTTCACTCACTCTATTGTCACACACTCAGTACACGTCTTTTATCTTACTGTGTTATCATTATCCTTCACTACTCCTCTCTAAAAATATAGAATCATGCTAGATGTACAGAACTAGTTCACAGAATTCCTTCACATATTACAGTTAGCATCAAATCATTGGAAGTCACACACGCGCACGCACACACACACACACACACAAAAGGAATCAATCAGATGCTATCAAATCAGCATCTGTATAACATCTATGAAGGAAAAGCATGTACATAAGGCTTTTTCCAAAAATATATTCGACAGCAACACCAATTGTCAAGGACGTTGATGAAGTCGAAAGTGCCAGCAACACAAGTTTCTTTCCTACATCTTGAATGTTGCCTTATCGTAAGCTTTGACGACCTCGACAATTGTGTCGAACATCCTGAGCCAGTGCAGGAGCCACGCTGATTTGGGTCCCTAATCTCGGTCACCTACCTTTTCAATGGTTGTTGTCTCACTCTGTTGTTGAGGTCACAACTGCAAAATTATACAAGTCGCTAAGGTATCGACTTTGATTCCAATTGCAAGGCAAAATCAATATGGGCTTTCTAGTTTTCAAGATTTTGAGAAGATAAAATATTTTTAGCAATGACGATGCTAGTGTGTGGGTTGTGGTAGTGGCATTGTTTATTGGATTTTAATGTGGATATGGTTGTGGTGGTGGTGGTGGTGCCAATAGTGGGAACGGGACAGTTCTTGTGACTGTGGAGTGTAAGTGTTATGCCCTAGACCCAATCGATTTAAGTTGTAAAACACTTTTAATATGTTTAATGCATTAAATTTTGGCAAGATCTATTATTTATTTAAATTAATATTCTGATAAATAATATTAAATAATAGAGTCCAAAAATTCAAATTTAAGTGATTTGTTAATCACACCTAGTTGTGATGGTGAGATGCAAATTATATATGATTGGATCTTGAACAATCCATGGTCGTAAGCAATAAGGAGATATAGATTTCGTTATTATGGATAGACAATCACGTGTGGTATTTCTTGTTTATGAAGTAAGTAGCTGAACTCACAAGTTAAAGTGTGGTGACACTTAAATGAACGCGTGGATGTTTTAGAATGAAACATTGGAGACCCTCTAAGAGATTCCACATGGATAGCTATCTAAGTATCAGTGGTTGATCTCTAACGTTCGGTAGTGGAATTGATCCTTTGACTTGAGGTCCTCATAGTACCTTATATGAGGACAGTCATGCTTTAACGGTGTTGAATGTTGCTCCGTCAAGGGCCGTTAATACGACATCGCTCGGGTATGTCAAGAACCATATGAAGGTTATGAATGATCGATAGAGGATTCGTCACTCTTAGATAGTAAGAGATTGTGATCTGCATTTTACTCAATTAAATTAATAACGAAATCCTTGGCTAAGGTATGTTCAAAAGTCGAAAAGGAGTTTTCGACTCATATTGATTTGAGGTAGAATGAAAGATATGATTGATAATCGAGATTGACACACTTCTATATCTCGTAACTGATCAGATCATATTTACAAATGGATTATAGTTTTATGGTAAACGAACATGTTTGATTTTATCATACCACGTGACATTTCCCGTCACATATGTTGCACTGATACATTGTTAGATGTCAATCTGGGACAGCGAGTGTGAATTGGTGATAAATTAAAATGGTGTTTTAATTTATTAATTTTTTATTAGATCAAAATAATATTTCACGTCGTTAGGTATCGTGATCGGGAACCTGATGGGTCGCACACAAAAGAGAATTGAAAGATTGCAATTTGTCAATTAATTAATTTAACAATCGTTGGATAAATTAATTAATTGAGCTGGTTATTTATAGCCCTTGATTAATTAATTGGATTAATTAATTCACGGACCAGATTTAATTAAATGGGTTAATTAAATATTGGACCGAACCGGGCCGATCCGAGCCCGTTTGGACTTATATAAATAAATGGCTAGAGTTTTAAATCTATACAGTTTTCATAATTCTTGCTAGTACAAGAGGAGAAACCCTAGCAGTTGCAATCTATTTTCTGTATGGAATTCATTGGAGGCTGGATAATTAGACAGCTGTGGGAGGCAGATCCAAACTCCTGGAACAAAGATAACGCAAAGGAGTTTGCAAATTCTAGAAAATGTATAACTTTTATCACAGTTCCTATTTAAATACAAAGATGAATTCTGGTGGGAATTGAAATTGTTTTTATTTCCGCTGAGCATGTTTAAGTAAATTCCCAACATGAAGTTGGTAGATGGGAGTTGGTGGTGGATTGTGGTGCATGTGGTGGTGTGTTGGAGTTGAACTATGTGGTGGTGGTGAGATGGAAGCTAAGTCTTGTTACAGATCTTCGTGTTGATGGTAAGGTGGTGATGGGAATGGGAATGGGAATGGTCATGGGATTAAGTAGAATGGATGGGATGAGAAGTAATTATGACTAATTGTTAGATAATTGTGTCAATTAAACAAATATATTGTGACCAATAAATAATATGTGACCTAAGAAATGTGTGATTTGACTCTAAATTTTTAATTGTGATAATTGTATTGTGTTTGTTAGATGCAAATCGACATAAATGGCATAATTGGAGAAAAAAGTGTGAAAAATGGCTCAATTGTAAGATATTCAAAGTTGAAAGACTAAAGTAACAATATTCAAAAGTTGTATTGAACATCACAATGAAGATTCGAAAGTGTTAGAGGTCAATTGGATGAGAAAAAAAGTCAAATGGATGAAATATAGTTAAAGTACTCTTACACATCAATTTTCATGTGAAAAGTTATATTCTGAATTTTTAGCCTCATAGTGAAACTCATTTTTGCCATAGAAAATGTTCGGATGGGAAAAATAATATTTCTTGAAGAATTGTAGCACTTTAAGTTAGACTTTCAATGCACTTTGGATTGTCTTGGAAGCAAGATATGATAACAATACTAATGACTCCTCGGGACATAACTAGGCGGGTGCTTAGTACAAATTTTCAGGCACACNCTTGGAAGCAAGATATGATAACAATACTAATGACTCCTCGGGACATAACTAGGCGGGTGCTTAGTACAAATTTTCAGGCACACCTGGCCACCCAACACAAGCGATCGAAGCCATTTTATGTCTTAGAAGAATGTGCCCCACCTTCAACTAGGCACGTGCCTTGAAGAAAGTGAGGAAGAAAATTTATTTCATTTTCTTCATTTGGCAAGTTCTAGGACGATATCTTTAGCATCTTTTATAACCTAAAGGAGGTTTAGAACATGAAAACATTGTTTTTATCATTGAAGAGAGTCTAGCAAGTGGCGAAGAAGAGTTTACAACAATAATTGAAGATTCAATGCTTGAGCTGAAGT